CTTAGATATAATTCACATCTTTACCATAATTTATATTATAAAATATTTTATGGTTAAATCAATTTATCATTAAGAAATCGATAAAAAATATATTTTTTTAGTGTACATAAATTAAAAAAAAAATTATTATTATATACTAAAAATATAAGGACAATGGTGATGGCCAACGATGGTGGCTGGAGGTGAGTGGAGATGGCTAGGGGTGTTCTAGCAAGCTTGATTGCGGTGTAAACCGTTCTCACTCAAAAGTGAAAGAATTCAATTTACCTAAAAAATAAACTAGAATGCTTTGCATTATATTTATTTTATTTTACTTTATTTTACATTTCTTTTCATCCATTCAATGTGACCGCAATGGTGGCCGCTAAAGTGTGGCAGCGAGAACGATAGTGGTGGTGGCCGGTGGTGGTGGCCGGCGATGGTGGCTGGAGGCGGGCAGAGGTGGTTAGTGGCGGTCAAACGAGCTTAATTGCGTTGTAAACCATTCTCGCTCAAAATTGGAAGAATTCAATTTACCTAAAAAATGAACTATAATAATTTATACTACATTTATTTGATTTTACTTTACTTTGTATTTTTTTTTTTCCTTTATTCAAACACCAAAATATTCTAAACCTTTGCAATTGGAATACTTTACACCCTTATATAATCCAATATAACAGTCTCTTAGTCTCACATCACTTTCTCTTACCATTATTTATATAGCTTTTTTGTGTTTTCAAATGTTAAGAACTCATATAAAGTGGTGGGGTTATATGAAAATGCTTCATTGATATTTTGGGGTAAATAATTATTATAAGAATTTCATACTTATTAAAAAATTAAGTATTTTAAATTTAAATTAATTTGTTAAATTATGAATATTATTTAATATTTAATCCTAAAGATTACAAATTAATTTTTTTAATTATTTATATAATTCAATAATTGAACAGATTGATTTGACTAACCGGCTCAATCTAATTTGATGTAGAAACGATTTTTAGACTGGTTCAATCCAATTTTAAAACCTTGGGTTTTAGAATTAATTTCGATCATAATAATGTTGGCCTTTTAAAAATTTGCCAATTCTAAAATTTTTATTTCATTGGAGATTAACTACTGCGACCAACCTCGTTAAGGAGAAATTATTTGGTATGGAGTCCGAACGAAGCTTTGTGTCAGGACTCCAATTAAATCCTTACATGCGGATGAGACATGTGAATATTCAATTGGATTTTGTTTATTATTTTTATCTTGTCAGCATGTCCGACTTGACCCTTTGGATGAAAAATTTGAATTCGTAGCAGTTCAAAAGACTTGGAGCTAGGTCATTTTATCTTCCCATTTACTTTTCATCCGGACATTTCACTGCTCATATTCTCTCTTGTTCAGTATTCCATATGCTTCACTGCAAATAGGTTTAATCCTTCATCATTCTAGTACGTGCAAAAGTTCGTCATATAAGAACAAGATCTTGTCGCGCTTTTGCTGCTTATTCGAAGGTATCAATTCTTCAATTTTCAAAATTAGGTTGCATAGCTTAAAATTGCTTAGTTATTTTCATTCATTTTTTGTTTCGTTTTAACTGAGCTTTAAGTGCACTTTGCTGTGATTTTTTGCGCTTTTATGGTATCGTCTCATGCATTGACTTCTTCAAATTCAAACTAGGATGCATAACTTTAAAATTTCTGAGTAGTATTTGTTCATTTTCATCATTTTTAATGCACTTTTACTATGCTTTCACTGCATTTTCATTGTGCTTTGCTGGACTTTTACTGCACTTTTTCTCATTTTTTATGTTGTGCTTTTCTTTTGAGTCCAGTACTGTGCATTGTTTTAACATGACATTTTATCCACATTGCATAGCTCTTGTAAACAAAATTTATAAAAACTTAGGAAACCCTTATAACAAGTTGGGATGAATTAGAAATTTGTCGAAAAGTTGAAACTTGCAACACCTCCAACCAAATTAACTTTTTATTTTTGGACGACTGCATAACCTCTTTCAGCCTCAGCGTCCTTTGAGCATGTAATCTTCTCGAAGCATGCAATGTTCTCCTCAATCTTCATACGGTGTTTTTCATTTTTTCTTTCTTAGCAGGTATTAAAAGTTCCACAAAAGTCCTAAATATTTGGATTTAAGAGTTTTTGCAAAAAATTTCGTAAAATGGAACGCTAATCCTAAATTATTAAAAAAATTAAAAAAATAAAAACTCTAGATTGGATCAGATTGACTGGCAAGACATAAATAAGAAACAAAATAAATTGAATAACCGCATGTCTCGATGTGTTGGAATTTAATTTAGTGATCAAGCAGAGCTACATTCCACACCAAATAATTTATCCTCGTGAAGGGAGGAAATAGAGTTGCAAAAGAACCGAATCGAGCCGAGTATGTGAGTGTTCATATTTGAGTTCGTTTATTATTAGCTTGTTCAAGTTAGGTTCATATTTTATTCGAGCTTTATTGTTTGTATTAATGTTTGGTTTGTTTAAATTAATGGTGTTCATGTTTGGTTCATGTTCAGCTTGTTTAATGCTTATCGAGTTTTAAACAAAAAAGTCTTAACGAGCTATGTTCATGAACATATTTAACGAATTTTTTTACACTATCAAACAAGTATATTCATGAACAAATCTAATGAGTATTCTTGAGCTATCAAATGAGCAATATCATGAATATATACATAACTAGTATTTTCGACAACCAAATGAGTTTGTTCACGAACAAACGATTTATGATTCATCTTATATTTGTTAATGAACATCTTAAACTAACAATCTAGCAAACATTCGTAAATATGAAATGTCTCTTGTTCATGAACAAATACATTCTATTGAAGTTATAAAATAAAATGAAATTAAATTTATAATAAAAGTAGTTGTGTGTTTAAAATGAAAATATGATTAATCAATATAAATATATTTATCAAACTTATTCACAAGTTACACAACTCTCCTTGGCCTATTGGTTGAGAGCTTAGGCTTCCAACTAAGAGGTCCAAGGTTCGAGTCTTTGTGTATGCGTTGTGTGTGTGAGTTTGCCTTAAATGGCCTAAATGTCCCAAAAAAAAAAAAAAAACTTATTCACAAGTTCTAAATCAAACACTAATAGAGCTTTTATCGCGCTTGTTCATGAGCTTCAAATGACGTTGTTTGTAAACATAAATGAATTGAACATATTAGTGTTCAAACTAGTTTATTTAAAAATCTAGTATTAAAAATATTATTTAAATTTATTTATTTAATTAGTTAAACGATGATAAAAGAATTTTAATTCAACCTAGCGGCCAGTAAGCTCGTGATCGTTTGGTTTGTTTGCAGCCGATCGGAAACCTGCTCGGAGCACAAAAAGGTTTTTTACTTCACTGTAAACGCTAGCATTCAGAGAGAGAGAGAGAGAGAGAGAGAGAGAGAGAGAATGATGTCTGCTCACTCTCGCCTTCTCCTCTCTTCCAATCCCCAACTCTCTCCTTGCCTTCGCCGGCCAGTCACCAAAGACCTGCATTCATTTCCTTTCTTGCGAATTCGAGGTCTGCAGATGGGTAGGATCGGGTTGGATTCTCTCCGGGACGTCAAGGTCAGTTCTGGCGCTGGTTCGCCGGTTACGGATATTGAGCTGGACCATTTCTCTACGGTGGCAAACAAGATGGCGGACGCTGCCGGCGAGGTCATCCGGAAATATTTCCGCCAAAGCTTCGCAATTCTCGACAAGAACGATCTCAGTGAGTACTGTCGCGGCCAACGGTATCAGGGTTTAATGTTCTGGGAGAAAGAAGGTTTTTGAAGAGAAAATGTTTTTTTTCCTTTGCAGGTCCTGTGACTATCGCCGACAGGGAGGCGGAGGAGTCGATGTGTTCGATTATAATGGAGAATTTTCCAACTCATGGGATGTAAGCTACTTTTTCTTTTCTTTAAAAGGAGAGTAGGATTCGTTTTGTTTATTTTTCGACTGGCATTGTGTCAGTTTTGGGGAGGAGAATGGCTGGAGATGCAAGGAGAATTATGCTGATTATGTTTGGGTTTTGGATCCTATCGATGGCACCAAGAGTTTCATTACTGGTATGTTGATCTGCGAATCTCTCTTAGCTAACCATGGGCAAATTATTAGGTCAGGTGATTGGACCTATCTCCGCGTTCGGACACCAATAGAAAGCAGACATCTGGCTGATTAAACATGAATTTGTTTAATATAAACTTTTTTGCTTATGTCTTGTCAGCCCAATCGACCCGACCCAGTCCACTTTATTTTCATTTTAAACGTTGCCTTTATTTTAGGAGCCCGCGAAAGATCTGAATGTTTATTGCTTTAGAAGAAAAAATGAGCTAGAAAATTGCAGAAAAGAGATGGAATGCTCACGGAAGAGAAATGTGGAAGAGGGGATGCATGAATCAGAAGTGATGCATGAATCTGAAGCTAACTTAGCTGGAAATTCCTCAGGTTTCAACATATCGGTAAGTTTCAATCTCATCGCAAGTTGTATTATGGAAAAGCGAGCTAGAAAGTTGTAAACATAGCTGCTGTGTTTGACGTAGAGAAAGGGCATAGGTTTCAGCTCATTAGAGGCTTATGATCTTAAATGTTGCTGTTTCAGCCCATTATTGTTTATAGGAAGAAGAACTGAATTGTTTTGACGGAAAAGTTAAAAGAAGCTCTTATATGTTGTTGTTTAGCTTTCATTATTATTTTTAGGAAGAAGAACATTATTGTTTTAAGGATTGGTAAAGAAAGATGATAAACTAATCTTGTGCTTTACCTGCGTTTTAATTGCGCGTTAGTTGAGCTTTAGTTGCGCTTTACCTGCACTTTAGTTGCGTTTTAGTTGTGCTTTTTAATCTTTTTTCTTATCATTTCAGGTTGTTTATAGAGATGAGAAAGAAGCATATGAATGTTTTTGTACTTATGCCCATGATAATGGCTTTAACATCCGCAAGGATCATCACAGTTTTTGGACAAATTCTAGGAAGATAAAATCCAAGGACTTTGTATGTTCAAAAGCTACTTTCAAGAAAAAGTATTGATCTTAATTCAATAAAGAGATTTACTAAACCAGATGTTAGAACCGGTTGCCCATCCATAGTGAGGCTTGTAGTTGATGAAGATGGTTATTGGCATGTCAAAAAATTTATTGAATCCTACAACCATGAATTGGCTAGCCCAGCCGACTGACACCTTCTGAGATCATGTAGGAATGTTGTTGAGAAAAAAGCTTCCATCCTAAAGTCAATGACAGATGCAGGGATTAGAACCGTTGATGTATTTACCTACCTTGCAGAGGAAGTTGGAGGATGTGAGAATATTGGATTCTCTAGGAGGGATACCTATAATTTTATATATGAATATTCTTATACATGAAGTCCAATTGATAGAAGTGAACTCATTTACATTATTTGCTACAGATGTGAGCATTCTAAGGGGTTTTATGATTATTTAGTGAAAAAAAAGATTAGATAACAAAAACATTATAAAAGTCTTTAACTTCGTAGCATTATCAGTCAATCTATATAATTTTGATATTTCAGTTTTTATTTCAGTTATTAGAGGTCTAGTTAGGGGATCATTCCTCCATTTGATATCAAAACTTCTGTTAGGCATACCTGTTAGAAATTTTTTGTTAATGTTACATTTAAAGTAAAAAAAAAAACATATCAATAATTACTTATTCAAAATCTTACTAGTCAACAAAGCAATCTCGTCAGAAGTGAATTTAAGTAAATAACCATTCACAATGAAGCCTTCATCAGCAGAATTCCAAAATTTCAGAATATTAAAAATAAGTAGTATACATTGTTGGAATGCTGGAAACTTAAAAAACTGATGAATGTTCAAATTTTTTAAAGTCTGCTCAAGTTCATCATCAATTATCTAGACAAAAGCATCACAAGTTTTTCTGAAAGTGGTAACATAGCATTGAGAAGTAACTGACCTTTGATATGACATTTGGAAAAAAAAAATTCAGATAAAGCGCAACCAAAACGCAACCAAAGCGCAACCAAAGCATAGCCAAGCGTTTCACATAATTTGTTTCTTCATTTACGATGAAGTTTGAAATTCAAAAAATAAATATTTTAAGATCAAATTGAACAAACAATGCTATGTATAAAATTAACACTAAATCCTAAAATTTAAAATATAACATAAACGCACCAAAAGCGCAACTCAAGCGCAACATAGGCGCAACATTACCTTTCTAAATGCTGATGTTCTCCAATGTCGTCGTCTCGTCTACCACCGGGAAGAAGGTTTTGCAGAACCGAAGGTATTGCAGGAATCCGAGAGCAGAGAGCCGAGAGTAATACAGGAGTGAAAATGTCGAGTGAAATGTAAAAATGCTCCGTTTCCATTCTTGTAGTCCTGAATTCAAACCATATGGGTTACTTGGTCGGGTCGATCGGGCTGACAAGACATAAAGCAAAAAAGTTTATATTAAAAAAATCCACGTTTAATCAGCCAAATGTCCGCTTTCTATTAGTGTTTGAACGCGGAGATAGGTCCGGTCACCTGACCTAATAATTTGCCCTAACCATGAGACTTCAAAATTAAGGCAATGCTGTGGGGGGAGAAGTAGACTTTGAAATGGTGTTTCGTTATGCAGGTAAACCTCTATTTGGCATACTTATTGCTCTTCTCTACAAGGGGAAACCGGTAAGGTTGGCTAAGTTAGCTTGTTTCAAAATTTTCTGTACTTCTCAAACAAATTGCATTAGTATTTTAATCTATAGATTAAAATTGATGCTCTGTACCAGAAGTATTGCTAATTGCAATATTTAAGAATTTAGGGAAAAAACGCTGCGGTCTTGGAAATATGGCTATATTCAATGTCTTGTCTAGATGAGTATTTATTTATTGATGGCTTTCTTTAGGTCATTAAAAAGCTTGTTTTGACTTCAGAACTTCCAGAGGTTAGACCATTGCAATTAGTTTTAAATAGGGCTGCAAACGAACCGAGCCGAGCCGAGTATGTGAGTGTTCATGTTTGTGTTCATTTAGTATCGGTTTGTTCAAGTTTGGTTCATGTTTGTTCGAGCTTTATTGTTTGTGTTCATGTTTGGTTCATTTAAATTAATGAGTGTTCATGTTCGGTTCATGTTCAGTTAATGTTCGTTCGTTTAGTGCTTATCAAGCTTGTTCACGAACATATTTAACAAATTTTTTTTAACTATCAAACAAACACGTTCATGAACACATATCTATGAACAAACACATTTATAATAAAATCAATTGTCTATGTAACAAAGGCAATGATTATTTATATTTATTAATTTTATAGTCAAATATTAATTATTTTTATTGAGCTTAATCACGAGTTCAAAATCGAACATGAATCGAGCTTCTTATCGAGCTTAATGTCGAGCTTGTTCACGAACTTCAAATGATGTTGTTCGCGAACATAAATGAGCCGAACGCATTAGCGTTCAAGTTTGTTTATTTAAGAATCGAGTATTTAAAATATTGTTCAAGTTTGTTTGTTTAGTTAATTAAACGATCACAAACGAGTTTTAATCGAACCGAACAACGAGTAGCTCGTCGAACGTTTGGTTCGCTTGCAGCCCTAGTTTTAAACAGTCATTTAAGCTGCAAGTATATCTTTGATGTGGTTGTCGTAGCCTGCGTGTTGGGCCTAGAGGAATATCAATGTGATGAGTGAGTTGATAAATTTAGATTAATCCGATAAATATAAAATTTTCCATAATAATAATTATCCACCAAAAAAAAAAAAAGGAGTATCAGTAACATCTAATAATCCATCCGCTAAAATATAGGTGAAACTTAACTATTGTAATAGCTCACTTTCAGAAAAAATTGCTACTAAATCAATTAACTTACTAAATCACCTACTCATGATAGCTGAAATATGAGTTCAGGAACTCTCCTTTCAATGATGCAAATGTAACCTGAAAATTATAAAAAATAAGAGATAAGTTTGTAAGAAACAAACTCAAACTCATCAGTTAAAACCTGCTAGTTAAAGTATTGACAACAAAACATAGGGCATAAATATGTTCAATGAAAAATACATGAGTTACAATAGGTATTATATTGTAACAAATATAAACATTATATCAAAAAAATCTAAATTGCAAGGGGAGATTAGCAAATATAGAAACAATCCAATGTTGCTCACAATGCAATATAGTTCATAAGAATTCATATGCAATATAATAATCACATTCTAACACAAAAACATCTACTTGCATACATACTATATACTTATCACTCATTTACTGTTATACCTTTTATATTTTTATATGTAGTTAGCTTGCTAAGTCATTAGCCACAGTACAAGTAAAGAAGCAAGCTTTCCTTGTCCATAACAAAATTAAGGATGATTCAAGTCGAACATCTCTAGTTCAGTAAGATCATGGGTGTCAAATAATATAACAATACAAACAAAGAAAACAATTACTTAGTAATTACATAATTCTAAACCTAAAAAAATAATATTCATGTGCAGTAAAGTCATATAATATGATGAAAATAATGACACTCAAACACACCACATAATCAAATGAAACATATTGCTCTATGAATATCTTGGTTAAGCTATACTCAACATTACAAAAACAAAATAAAGAGTTCTCGAACCCCTACAGTATTACAATTACCTTAATAAACAGACAAAATATTCTAGTTCACTAAACATCTAGATCAACGTGATTAAAATATCTATTGTGTTACTAAAAAAAAAAAAGCACAATTATATTATATTTACTAAGTATCCAATATTTTCTAGCGATACTTGAAGTATCATTGATTTATTCCAGTAATTATCCAATATTGTTTAGCTACACTTAAAAGCATCTTTGATTTAATCCATTCTTGGTTGATTCCAAGCAAATAGGAGCTTTTGTGCTAATCCTCCCATTAATCATATATATATGATAGTTTCCTAAACAAATAAACATGTGCTCAGAAGACAATATGAAGATAGCATTATGATATGCTCAAATTATTTCATCAAGGGTTCATATGAGACCTCTTAGCTAGAGAATTACTCCCCCCCCCCCCCCCCGATGAAAGAAAGTCCTCTCCTCATTCTGCGGGCGAGGACCCATCGAAACTTTTCACTTCTATCATGGATAGAATTTCGTCAGTAATATTCACATCCAAGTTACAGGAAAGTATTTTTGTAAGAGGCACTAGCTAGTCTCATAATAGTTAATTGACCATAGAGTTTACTACCCCATGACTTGAATATACTTGCCTCTCACATTGAAGCAACCCGAGGCTTCATCAAAAGGTCTCCAACTACTTTGGGGTGCTCGTCATCCACAACCCTCTCAGCTAGACCTCATTAGTGGCCTCGCCCATATATACTTGTCGTTATACACTTGACATTAGGGAACTCGCATTGAGATAGAGGGTATACACTTAACAAATATAGCCATTCATCAAGCTAGTTAAAGTATGACTCATCTTTAGAAAAGTCTGTACCATGAGTAATTATTTATTGTACTTTTTACCTTTTTGATGTTGTCTTTCTTGTTGCCCTTGGATCCTTATAAATAAAAAATGAAGTTGAACATTTTCAATATTTTGACCTTTTCTAAATTGACACTTGAGGTTGTAAAACATTTTCCACATATTTCTCTTCTTCTTTTTCCATTTTCACACAAGTTCTTGGGTCATATTATCTAATGCCATGTTAATATTGTCGGGTTGTTGATTCATTTTTGAATCTTGTCAGCTCTATTTTATAAAATATGCGACTTTAACTCAATTTTGACTCGATGTAATTCAATTTAATCAAATTTGGCCAATTAATATCAATTCGACTCAATGTTTTGGCTCGAGCTATTCTAAATATATTAAATTGAATCAATCAATTAAATTTAATTGATTATTTTGTTTGATTCGATTTTAATTTCATTAATTAAGTGAAATCAGACCAAATTGCATAAAATTAAGTCTGTTGAGTTGAGTAAACTTCAATCGAGTTGAGTTGACCTGAACTGAGTCGAATTGAATCAATTTGCATCAAATTAAATAAAATTAAAGTTTGATCAAGTTGAATTAAGTTAGGTTGCATCAAATTAATTGATTCATGTTGAATTAGGTTCAATTTAGTCTAATTTGAGCCCAATTGGGTTGAATCGATTCAAATAAAGTCTAAATAACTAAAATTGAACCAAATTGGCCTATTTAGTTCAACCATTAAATTATATAGCCTTCCAACACTTGACTTTGACTTTATCTGCCTTTCTAAATCATGTAAACTCAGATCCAATGGCTAAAAAATTAAAGCAGGCCATTGGTCTTGTTACTCTTGTATAGTGAAGCAATGCAACAACTGGCCGCATGTATTTTTCTATGTTTCCTATGCTTGGAGGTAGCTTCATGTCCTTGAATGTAAGGAGAGTTCAATTTCAGCCATTCATCTTCATCAGATCGAGGGGCATGATAATCAGAGGATATTGTTCCTCTTTTCAAAATATTTGAAAACAACCAGTCTGGTCGATTAGTGACATGCTTGTGTCTATGTCAAAAATGAGCAGGGCTATTTGTAGCTTCTAGGGAGAAACGAGAGAGTCCCGAGAGGGGTTTTCTTTGGGCGTTTAGTTAGGTTTGAGTTTGAGAGAAACTGAGGGCCTAGAAAGGCGTACATGTGTGTCTTAGGGAATCAAAGATTGCTCATGCTTCCTCTTTGAAAACCGAGAGGGCTGGGGAAAGAATTGGGTTTTTGATTTTCCAGTTAAGAGTATGTGACTTGGTCTTCAAAGAAGCCTGAAAGGTGTGGTTGTCGTAGAACGCATTTTGGGCCTGCACATGTGATGAGGGAGAGATGAGCACGCTAAGCAGCTCTCAGTGTGAGGATTGCTTGGCTTTTCCTTCATCCAAGCAAAAATTGAGCAGTTGAAGGAGAATAGAGAGGAGAGAGCTACTCACATATCTCCTTACCCTTTTAACGATTTGAGAGCTAAAATCTCTTGGTACACTAACTCCGATGAGTTGGTATTGTTGTTGACCTCCAAAATAGTCTCTGCAGACCAAACGGCCCAAGGAAGGTGCTAATTTCATATCAATTGCTTTCATGTCATCTAAACGAAAGTACTATAAAGGTAGAACATCGGATTAGCTCGAGGGAGGTACCTTCTTTGAACTTAGCAAAACCTAAGTCTATAGGTCGTAGGTTGTTTATGTATGACATTCTCAAGCCTTAAGTCCATGTAGAAACCTCATTTACACTCATCAACCCTTTTACCAACTATGGCGTGGAGGTGGTGTTGTTGACATCCAAACATAGCCCAACTGAGGTAAATTTCTATGATCCATAGAGTATTTCTTTTTGGAGTGATAAGGTGAACAAATGATTAAATAGAAGCTTGCATAGATTTGATTGATTTACTTCTTTTGCATCCTCTCATATGTTGGTAGGATAGAAACTCCTAAAAATCTAGGAAGACATTTAAAATTTCAAATCATAATCGGAATGCCTACATTAAATCTAAATCAAACTTGAACTTCAAATAAAATAAAGAGTTAAATCATCTAAAAAAATAATTCAAAAAAATAAAATAAAAATAAAACTAGCATAAAATTAAGAAAATCTAAATGAAGCCTACACATTATAGTTGAATCAAACTAAAATTTAAACCAAACAATATTAAGTTGAATCAATTGATTCATAAACATGCTAAACTTAA